CCCACCTCCCCTCCTTCCCCGCCTCCCTTCCTTCCCTCCCTCTCTTGGAGCTGCAACACATACGCTTCTCTAGTCCTTGGATATCAGAACTCCAGCCTTTGGACTCCAGGAACTACATCATTACCCCCCACCCCCATCTGCTCTCAGGCCTTCACTATCATACTAAGCTCTCTGGTTCTGAGGCCCTGCGACCCAGACTGAACCATGCTACCCCTGCTGCCACCCCTGGGTCTCCAGCTTGCAGACGGTCTGTCACGGGACTTTACAGCTTCCATAATCACAGGAGCCAATTCCCCTAATACATCCACTATGTGGATGGATGGAGGATGGATGGATGGATAGATAAAGCCAGGCATGGTGGCTTACACTATAATCTCAGCACTTTGGGAGGCTGAGGCAGGAGGTTTGCTTGAGCCCAAGAGGTCAGAATCAGCCTGGGCAACATTGCAAGACCTTATCTATGTGAAAAGTTTAAAAATTAGCCAGGTATGGTGGTATGCACCTGTGGTCCCAGCTATTTGGGAGGCTGAGGTGGAGGATTGCTTGAGCTCAGGAGCTCAAGGCTGCAGCTCACTGCACCACTGCACTCCAGCCTGGATGACAGTAATGGCAAAAACAGAGAGTGTTGGGGGGGAGGGGGGGGAGGGGGGAGAGAGCGGGAGAGAGAAAGAGAGAGGAGACAGATAGATCCTATTGGTTCTGTCTCTCTGGAGAACACTGACTAATATGGGGCCTCTACCAGGGGCTCAAGGAAAGGGGGACAGGGAGAATGGGTGGGACTGAGGGGGGAGTCAGTCAGTTCCATGGCCTTGGGTCCTATCTTCTCTAGGCCACAGGAGAGGGGGAAAGATCAAGGCAGAGAAGGACAGGGAGAGACACAGCTCCCTGGGAGCCCCACCAGGAATCGCAGGCCAGCATGGGCTCTGGCTGGATACCCAAATCTGGCCCAGCCTGGGGGTTCTGCCCTGCTGTGGGCACTCAGCTGACCTCAGGTGTGACTCTGGCCTCCCAGACCTCCAGCCTGGATGGCAGGAGGACACATGTGCCTTGAGGGTTCCCTGCTCCATAAGGCAGCACAGAGCCCCACGTGCACAGCCACCTGGAACCAAGATAAACAGACCCACACAGACAGTCTCCAGAAGTGACCCCAGTGGGGCACAAGGCATCTGGGCAGGTGGCCATGAAAAACAACTGTTGCTAGAAGTTACCCTGTCCAGGCAGAACACAGAAAGGATGGGCCCACCAAAGTGCAGCAAGGCTGACAGAGCCAAGACTTGAACTCAGGACCCCCAACTTGAGGCCTGCACAATCCTGAGCAGGGCCCTGATGTGGACTCAGACTCCATCAGCACCGATCTAGTGCTTGGCTACACTGCCACAAAGCACCCAGAGAAAAACCTGGATCGGGGCTGGGCACTTTGGGAGTCTGAGGCAGACGGATCACCTGAGGTCAGGAGTTCCGGACCAGCCTGGCCAACATGGTGAAACCCCATCTCTACTAAAAATACAAAATTATTATTAGCTGACCGAGGTGGCATGCGCCCATAGTCCCAGCTACTCGGGAGGCTAAGGCAGGAGAATTGCTTGAACTCAGGAGGCAGAAGCTGCACTGAGCCAAGCGAAGATTGTACCACTGGACTCCAGCCTAGAAATGAGCGAGACTCCATCTCAAAAAAAAAAAAAAAAAGAAAGAAAAAAACCAAAATCCTTCATCAGGCTCAGTTAGACTCCTGTGTGTCCTTGGGCAAGCCCCTGTCCCTCTCTGGACCTGTCTCCTCAGTCTCCATCTGTAAGGTGTCTGCTCTGACAGTCCCTGTGGCTGTGAGCATGTGGAGGTGGGGTCTTCCCTAGGGGCCCATGGGGAAGAAGGGGCAGCAGCTGCTGAGGTGTGAGATGTCTGGCACCAGCAGATCTGCACACTTAACACCAGTTACCAGGCTTGCACATAAAAACCCAGAGGGCAGAGCAGGAGGCAGGGCCTGCTGAAGGGAGGCCAGCCCGAAGCCCCCTGCACCCACAGGACAGTTGCATAACCCTGGTGCAACTCTGATGGGCTACTGCTTTTGCCTAGAAATTTTCCTGACAAATCCACTAAGCCATTGAGCAGAAGGACTGCAGCAGAAACAGGCAGCTGGGCCAGAGAGGCTGCCTCCAGCAGTGGCAGAATCAGGGCCTGCCCCATGTCAGACTCCTCCTCCCAGTTGCAGGTCACTCGACCCCTGCACCTCCTGACTGACTGGCAATTAAGTCACTTCTGTTTTGTCCCCAGTGGGACTCCCAGAAGCAAAGGGTCCTCTTATCACTTCCATGCTGGGCCCCTCTGGACCCCCAAGCCCTCACTCTGGCAACATCTAGAATGATGTGCTCTACCACCTTCCCAGGGAGGACAAATGCCATCATGTGACAGTCACTCACTGGCCATATGGGAGGTGCCCCTTGTCATGGCCCATCATCACCCCAACATTCCACCTCTGCTGCCACCTGCTTCCCAGCTCCCTGTTCCATCACAAAGCTGCTCAGGGTTGATGATGCCACCTGGTGGCCGCAGCAGGAAATGCTTCCATACAACATGGCCTTTCCCCCGCC